TTATTCGTAACAATAGAAATTGATTATTTTTTAAATAGCATGAACATAAGAAATTACTAATAGTGTTCACTACAAATTGTTTCAAGATATTAAAAAAACACATTTTAGGAAATTCCAATAGCGAAAAAAAATTAAGCATCTATTTTGAATACAAAAATAATCCATTAAATACTCCTTTGCTTGAAGGTAATTTTTTTTATCCCAGTCATATGTCTCTATTCTAAAGCGTTGGTTTTTAAAAAATGGGGATTCTAACTCCCGGGACCCCCCCCCCCCCCCCACCTCGGTTACCCATTGGCCGATCTGGGGGATGGGGGTTCCGCGGTTTGGACCCGACTTTTATTTAAAAGATCAATGCATTTGAATGGTTGGTCCCCTCCCCCTTTTTCTTTTGAATTGGGAACCCCCAGCTGGATCAGCCCCTGTTTGCCCTCAAGAAGGGAGTTCCTAAATATTAAATCTGTATCTTTGTATGTTGAGCGTGTCTGGTAGTTGGGTCACACCTATCCCTTAGTATGTCCGAATATAAATGTTTGTTTATTCTCGAGAAGAGGGGAGTTTACAAAACCGTAAGATATAAAATACAGTTATGATTACCTTTATTACACTGATACAGGTAAGTACTTTGGGTTATAATATTGCCTTTATCTTAAGTCTCTTCTACCAAATCCAACGCTCGCCACAAAATGTCGTCCGTCTTATACCCGTCCATATTGACAACTGCATACAAGGAGCATGATGTATTTTTTGTTTGTAATAAGAATACACGAAACGGTCAACCTTGACCCGCTGATCCATTTGAGCACATGGATTTAACGGGAATATGCAAAACAACTTTGACATTTGTAAAATATAATCACTTGTCAAAGTTTGAACAAAGATACCCTAAGAAAGGTTACTAGTGGGGTTTCATGTAATAAAAACAAATTCTTATAAATCATGGTTTGATATTGTCAATAAATATGCTATCGTTTTTTTTTTTTTTTTCATTTAATAATAAATGTTAACAAATATAGGGTTTAGAATGGGGTGTAAGTTAGTTATACACATCGAGATACGGTGTGTCTGGATAAGAAACCCCTCCGGCCTCCGGCCGACGGGGTTTCTTATCCAGACACACCTATCCCTCGGTGTATAACTATTACTTAATCCAATAAACCCAGCTTATATATTATGTATTTACATTTGAAGAATAACCATAAGGTCAATGTCTATGTATATAATTTAAATTTAGGTTTTAGGACAAAAAGTACCCAAAATTTTTTAAATCAGCGTAATTTGTAACGTTGTTCAGTAATTGAATGTACATTTGAACATTGTTGAACAAGGTCGACTTTTTTCCACTCTGATCACCCTTATAAAATTGTACCAAACACATTCGGCAATATTATAAGCATTTGCAGTATTTAAAGGGAAGTTTTTTTCTAGCGGTATCACATCAAGTTTAAAACAAATCTAAGGATACGTTTACCAGAGTTAATTTTAGGAACGTTTTCCCCTATTTTACCTGGATTCTATACAATTATGCACCTTTTTTTCAAAATATCAATTCAATAATATCCCTCCCCCCACCCCCCCCCCCCCCAAAAAAAAAACCCAAAATATTTCCAATGTGAATTTAACAAGAATATGCATTTGATAGTGTATACCATAGATAATTTAACTATAACACTTTCACAGCTCAACTCTTATATTTGATTACACGGGAAAAACGTTGCATTATCTTGGAATAGTAATGCATTCATTTGTTAATTTCAGATTTAAAAAAATGTTCGTGAAAAGAGTGGATTGAAAACTATCGATTTTTGTTTCTAAATGTCTTCAAGGATTGATGTGGAGATATTCACATTGACTATTTTTTATTTGTGTTGGATGGTAGATTCATAACCAATTGTATCATAACTCCTAATGTCTCTATGGAAAACTTTTAGGCCTAAATGTACACCTGATCTGACAATATTTACATCTTAGTCAAAACCACATATTGATATAGAGGATAAATAAAGAAATATGACGTTATTCCTTTCAAGAATTCTTGTAACGTTGCATATATTTGCACTCTTCGGTGTTCTGTCTTCTTTTGGGCTCAGTCTAATAGTACATAGCAACCAAAAACCGATCATAATGTTTAAAACAACTTATCAACGATACCAGGCATACAATATGATATACCAGATGTTCGTTTCGTCTACTTAAGTAGAAGGCCAATTCAAACATGACTTGTGTCACATGATCATTATTTGTTGTTAAGAGCAGCACGACTGGTGTCACATGGTCGTTTACTTTGTTGTTATGTGCAACACGTCTGATGTCACAAGATCGTTTTTTTTTTTGTTACGTGCAACATGACTGGTGTCACTGATAACTGTTTACCTTTAAGATGCATTATTTGTCATTCCGGTAAATAGGGTTCATTTCGTTCAATATTTAGTTTTAAATATACCCCAATTGTGTGTATTTTTTTTTCTCTTTACATGTTTATATGTAATTCTTAGACTTAATGATATTTAAATGTTAATTTGAAATATGTTTATTTCTTTTTTTATATTTTTATTTCTTTTCTATACATTTCTATTTCTTTTCCATATATTTTTATTTCTTTTTTATATATTTTTTATTTCATTTCTATATATTTTTATTTCTTTTCTATATTTTTGTTCATTTGCCCAACGATACTTTTATTTCCCGTGACTGAGGGAGATATGAAGATTTGTTCACCCAAGAAATACATATTTCACGAGAGCATCGCCCGAGGGAAATATGACTTTTTCTTTGGTGAAAAAATCTTCAAATCTCCCTTAGCCATGCAAGGGGAATGAATATTTTATTTCATTACTTATACATTTTTTACTTCCTGGACATAAAATATTAAATTACATTTTTCTTTTTCTTATTCGCTTGTTTTTATAACTGAACACGACATTTACAATGATAATCAGTATCGATCAAAATTTAATCATTTTTTGTTATGTTTTTAATTCTGAAAATAATTTTGAAAACGAAATTACTATCATATCTCTAAAATAAACCAGTTCAAAACGTTATAAACAGTAACTGCGCGTAACGTCGCACATGGAAGTCCCGACGTTCAAAGGGGGAATATGATAGTCAAGGTGGAATATGCGAGTTTGTTCAACGTCACGTTGGATAGTCTCTAAACCAATCAAATTTTGATTTCGCTATCAATATAAACATGCAGTTGAATAATACCTTTTCTACACAATAAAGTTTTAATATTTAAGGATCTTTTTCCTTTTTTTTTTTATACCTTTTTACCTTTTTATTTGTCAGACCATTTTCTTTAAAAGTGTATGTAAATAAATACAGATAATAATGAGAGATGAATGTGACAGTTGTTTTCCATGGACTTTCCCCTTTTAATTTACCTTGATGTTCAGTATTTTTGTTCATACTTATTTAGACACCATACATATATACCTATCTAATAAATAATTTCCATACATTAAATTTTCAATCATTTTTCTGTCGCATCTTTTCCTTGATAGTGCATATTTTGGGAACACTTTGTTAATAAATGACAGATCGATGAATCGCCGTTTCAGAATCTTATGCTTTCTGGGAAATATTTTCAAAGCAAACACCAAAACCTTGTGATTGTTTCAGGACGTCCTAAACAATGGAAGTTTAACCAATGACGCGACGTCATTTTCATTTTGGGGTGTAAAGAATGTAATTATCCAGCGTCGTTTATATTTTGAAACGGCGAATTGAAACTGTTTTTATAATACACTGAAGCTTGAAATCATTGTTCTATATAATCAAGAAAATAACAGACTCCGAGACAAAAATGTGTTTAATATAAACGAAACATATCAAATGTCGACAGAAATGATTTTAATACAATTCATACACTGGTATTTAATAAAGCTTGATGTATTAAGGGAGCTACCATTTGATTTTTATGGGGGGGGGGGGGGGGGGGGGGGGGGGGGGGGGGGGGGGGCTAGGATGAAATTTGAAAAAAATAGGCAGGGACAGGAGTTTTGAGTAAAAAAAAAGGCAGGATGAGACACTTGCAAAAAAAAAAAGGAGGCAGGATGACAATTTAGGTAAAAAAAAGTCAGGGATAAACTTTAAAAAAAAGGCAGGACCGAATAGAGGGGAAAAATAAAAAGGGCAGGACAGAGATTACAACTAAAAAAAAATGCAGGACAAAATTTTTCATCCTAGCCCCCCCCCCCCCCATAAAAATCAAATGGTAGCTCCCTAAATTACAAAACAATGCTTATTTCATTCAACATCAACGTTTAACTGCTGTGACGTATTGAAGTAACAGGTATGTGTGCACTCCTGTAAGATTATTTAAAGTAGATTAACCGTATACCACCATCTAAGATTGTAAAGTAGCAGTACACAAACGCTCTCGTTGTTTGCTTAAATCTGCAAATTTTGGGGACAGATTGACAACTAATGTGTCAGACTGTTTATTTAAATAAAAATAAATAAGTGTTTCATTGCATTATTCAGACTGTTTTAAAAAATACCAAATATTTGTTTTTTTGCGAATTAATTTTCAACTTAGCCATTTATGGGCGATAACTCTAATAGTAAACTTTTTAAAAGGAATGTTAAAGAATTTCCATTCTAAACTTGTAGCAAGAAAACATAGTGGTGACAACTTTTTTCTTTTTAATTTCTCAAAGCATATTAAAATACCTATCTTCTCATATATTTTTTTTCAAAATGCTATCTCATAGATTTCTTTTTATGAACAAAAAGTGTTTTTTCATGAATAATCTATGCAAAATAGAGCAATTTGCACTACTTGTAGCTTGAAAAAAAGCACGGTGATCCATACTTTTTATTATATTTTTGAAAAAAGCATGTAAAAATCTACATTTTGGCAATGTATAAGAAAATTCTATCTGAGGAAATATATGTCGATGATACACCTTAAAGCGGAGTAGCTTTAATTTCATGTAATTTTTATTTTTTTTTATACCCTTCACTAAACAAATCTGTGAACACCAACGACCAAAAGATATAAACCTCTTTAATATGACGTATAGGCTGACTACATGTACGTGTACATTTACTGTGTCATAGTATCTTCTGTTTTCACTATAATTTCTTCTTGAATCTTCTTGTTTGACTCCCTGAAAAAAAATCCATTGAAAAAAATACAGATACAAAAATTAAATTTCAGTGCTAAGAAGTTAACGTCCCCTTTCTGACCGGAAGACGTGCACAGCTACATTAAGATCGTTTTGAGACAGTGGATGAGAAAAGAGTAGATAATTCAATTGACAACGACTTTACTTCTTAACAATACATATTGATTAGGAAATGACAGATACTCCATCGTTCTCTTGTATATTAGTGCTTGGTCTCAGAAATATATCGTTGATAAAAGCCGTTAAAGTAGTTTAAACATGTCTTTGTGGAATATAAGGATAGACGTTTGGTCAGTGCAAGATTATAACAACACCCTACTATAACCATATACAAAATAAAAAACACACACGCATTAAAAAAAATGTATAAATCAGTTAGTGTTATAAGTGTCCGGGAATGAAATACCAAAAACAACATAATATTTTTTTCATTTGATGTGCAATACTGTGGGTTTTGGTAGGGTTCATGTTACCAAGTCTTTATTTCTATATGTTGTGTTTATGTATACTGTTCTTTGTCTTTTGGGTCGTTCGTCGTATTTTTGACATGGTGTTTTCAGTATGCTATCGACTTATGAGTTTGGATATCCCTCTGGTATTTTCCATCTCTCTTTTAAAAAAAAATCATCAGCGGTGGTCGAAATCATATAAATTGTATATAGTATGGGAAATTGTTACAGGTGATAAAAGAAAATCTTTTCTTTGTCAAAAGAAACCATATTTGGTAAATTATACTAATTATACTGATTCTCATGCAGTATACGACGAATCGCCTGTCACTGAAACTATGTTACGTTCACTAGTATTAAGCCAAACAAAGGGTAATTAAGGATATTATCACATATTTGTTACGAAAACCTTTGATTTTGCATATGCAATAACCGCAGATTTACCCTAATCATATTTCTACCTGGGGCAAATAACCGGTTATTGTGCCCTGTTATGACGTTATTGTTGTTAGAAACACTTATGACGTCACGCCAGGGCACACTATTTGGTTAATTGCCCCGGGCAGGAATATGACTTGAATGCTACAAATATGTGATAACGTTCCTCCTAACAACAATGACGGATGAGAAACGTCGACAAAAATGACAGCGGAATTTGTTAAAGAAATAAAGAACACTAATACTAAATTTGACATAATAATATTCAAGAGCTACAGTTTTGAACGGTTTGGAAGCTTCTTTAGAAAGATGTTTTTCAGTGGCGGACCTTGCCAGAAGGAATGATAAAATTTTTCTACTTTTTTAAGCATTTGTATAATTTGTGATAAAGAGATTAAAGCATGTCCTTTTGCATTTGGGCCCTGGTATCAGCCCTCGACCCATATGAGTCATCGGCTAGCGCCTTTGGCTCATATTGGAATTCGGGATGATACCAGGGCCGATATGGAAAAGGACATGCTATAATTTATAATTTAGCTCCGATCAACTGGCAGAAACATATTTTGATATATTCAATCATGATGTAGTTGTCTTATTGTGTGTGAAAGAGTAAAAAGTTACTTTCGGTTTTATGCTTTGCAAATAAAAAAGACCTGTCTCAGAAATCAGTTCGGGTTGTTTAAACATTTCAACCCTGTATACTAGTGTGATTCACCATCCTCCAATTAGCAAATACGGCAATACAAGCATAATGTAGAATGTAAACCGTTAGTCTATAACACTATGGAGAAGATACCAAGGGAGAAATAAAAAATCACGTGTTCATTAAACAGACATAACTATGGCCAATAAGAAAAATTACAAATAGACAAATACGCCACTATGAGGAAAAGATTTAGCAACTCAAACCCCACCAAAACCCGATGTTGAACTCAGGTGCATCAGAACGGTTAGCAATTTCTGCTCCACAAGTGGCTCCCGTCGCATAAATCGTGCAATAGTACTAGTTGATAAATCAGGGCTTGCAACTCTCTCAGTTGACCTATGATTGGCTGTTATGCTAAGCCTCATCTTGGTTTTGCCGCGTGTTTATAGTTTTATTTCCTGAGTACCTGCTGAAGGCTACTGTGGATTTATTCATTTTCATGGCTACCAGTTTTCGTGATTAAGCAAAACTGTTTTTTTCGTGGATACTTTATTTCGTTGTCTTAATACTGTGCTTCTTTTCACATTCAAATTCAAATTCGTGTTTTTCCTATACCCAAGAAATCCATGAAAATTGGTATCCCACGAATGATAATAGAAACAAGTATTTAATTTAAATATATTTAAAAAATATGGTAATAAATGTTTTCACTGAAATAAATACTGGCAGAATTCATTATAATGCATTATAAATGTCATGATATGTCTTCTGCTCACACATGTTTAAAAGCACTGGAAAGCTATTACACTATAAAACATTATCGTTTTATAGAGAAATAACTAGTTACAGAACCTTTGGAGTTGTACATTTTACAAACAAATATGTTACGCTAATATATTGATGTCGAATCTCCACTTTCACAATGTTTTGGTTAAAAAGAACTCAACCTCATATTTTTAACCATATTCCAATACTAAATATTTTAACAAAATGACTTTGTGATGATATATAAACAATTTTTTCTTTCATTTTTCTTAAAAAAAAAGCTTCAGACTTGCAAATCGTTAGTCTTATATATCTTTATTAAGAAAAGTCACCGCCATTGCCTCCAGATACATCCCTCATGTTTTACATGTCATGGTTTTATTACTCGAACTTACTTTCCAAAATTCTTTCCGTCTTCTATGCTTTCTGGCAGATGTTGATTTAGTGTTTCCGGAAGAAGTAACGTCATACCTGCAGCTATTAAACATGAACCTCCAAATATAACTAGTGGTATAGCTGTTCCCGTGGTACCTCCTATAAGGTCAGCCTGAATAATGTAAATTTGCCGGGTTGTGAATAAATAAAGATTAGTGTATTGCTTTTTAATATCGACTCGGTCATGATCTTGAGACTTCTAGATCCACATGTTCTCGTCCGGAATATGCTTTAAATTTTCCACTGAACATTCAACATTAATCCATCATTATTATTAAATGCACACAATATTTGCTACTGGACCTAATGAAAATAACAATTACTCAATTGATACGAACGATTTAAAATCAAAACTGGAAGAATTGATTGAATCTTTCTTTGTAATCGCAATTCATGCAAAATGTGGTATATTTATATAAAAAATACAGCTTTCAATTCTTCAATAAATTTTCAAAACGAAGCATTCGATTACATAGTACAGTCAAGCAAAAAAAAGATGATATGCAATACATACAGTATCGGCTATAAAAGGTGAGATCATTCCTCCAACACGTGCCCAGCACGAGCTTAATCCCATTCCTGTGTTACGTATGGCAGTAGGAAATACCTCAGCGGAAATGACGTATATTGTTGCAAAAGCTGCAGTTGAAAACAATTTTCCCGCCAAAGCTAATGCTGTTGTCAATGATTGCAGTTCTGAAAGAAATTTGTTTTTGATATTTTGAAATGTTCGTAATGTTAAATAGCAACAAATATTGCATATAATACACAAATGTGTTTATAACACTAACGGTACCAATTTCACTGCACCAGATGCATATTTTGATAACCAATGTCTTCTCAGTGATTTACGAGATCAAAATATTTAAAAATCCTAAATCTAGTTTAAACTTTGAAGAGTTCATAAAAAAATGACAAGAAGCTAAGTCAATCCCAGATAATAAATCAGAGACATGACGAAGGAAATACATTCCTTAATCTAAAATGATATCAAATATTCTGTATCTCTCCATACCTCAGTACTGGCCACCTGACTGTGTGAAAATATTTTAAACATTTAAATATTTTGGACACGTTAAATAGTAACCTTTCTATCAAACTGCTACTTTTATACATCAATTAGAGGCGGGATATGCGGAAGATATCAAAAGAATATTTTAACTCATAAGTCGCAGCAAACTGACAACTTAGCATGGTACGAAAAATGACGAAAAGACAAACTAGAGTTTACAAAACACAACATAGAAACCCTAATTATGACTGAACAGCACGAACCCAATCAAACCTCGGGGGTATCCTCGTGTGCTCCAGAAGGTCAAACTGAACTTGTTTCACATGTGGCAACCGTCGTGTTGTCCATATAAGTACAGGTTCGATTATTAATCTTATTTGATGATATCAAATTGGTCGAAAAGAAGACAGGAAGGTGCTTTTTTTGTAGCGGAGAAGAAATATTTACCGTATACATTTTATTGAGTAAACAAACATCCTCCTGTCAACCTCAGTTAGAGCTAATAATAAATATTAATATGAACCATAACATTTTTCGTTTAGATTTGATACTGTTATATAATATTCCCTATTATATAATTGTCATTTACCTTTCCCGCCATAATTAACTGTGAATATTGTACTGAGGCAGGAAAAACCACCAATAGTCATATAGATAATGTAACTCTTTTTTCTTCCTATTTTGTCTATCATGAAAATAGGTAATGCACATCCTGGGAATTCCATTAGAGTGGCCAACAGAAAATTGATGTAGTAATTTCCATACAATATTCCAGTATTGAGAGACAAACCAAAAAATACCATGCTGACTACCATCCTTTAAAGAAAATTATGCATAAACAGAAACAAAACTTAATTTACATAAACTTTGGTTTAATAAGAAATACAACAAATGTAATAATGTACGAGAGACACAGATTAGAAGAAAGCAATCATATATCAACATGATAAAAGACTTTTGCGTGTAGAATTTTTTATATTCTATTGTTTAAAATCTGTTTATGAAACATGAATTAACACGAAATGGTACCTTATAAATAAGAGGAAAGGAAGGTTGTTTTGAAATATATAACATTCTATGATAACATTACAGCTTTCTGTGAAAATATTAAAAATCAGAAGTAAAGACGAATGTAAGCCAACTGTATATTCAGAAATTATAGCGTGCATTTATTATTGCGATATTTGAAGAATGAATTCAATAACATTTCAGTAAAATTATATTTGATTAGGTTTTTTTTTTTAATTTTTAGTCATACCATTTAACGTTACATATATATATATGTTAGCAAGTTCACCAATTTAGTTCAATCAAGATATTCTGCTGCAAGATGACAAAACATGCTTCCTGTTTAAATTGTTTTACGCTAGTCATTTTGGGGCCCTTTATAGCTTACTGTTCGGTGTGAACCAAGGCTCCGTGTTCAAGGCCGTACTTTGACCTATAATTGTTAACTTTTTATACATTTTGACTTGCATGGAGAGTTGTCTCATTGGCACTCATACCACATCTTCTTATTTATATCAAATGGATATTTTTTTTATAACTTTGGACAAGTTATACTGATGTTTATTTTGGAAATAATCTGAAAGTTGACCTCTAGATTTGGGAATATTGTTTGTTTAACATTATTGAACAGACACCTGTCCATTGTTGAAGGTAACATTATTGAACAGACACCTGTCCATTGCTGAAGGTAACATTATTGAACAGACACCTGTCCATTGTTGAAGGTAACATTATTGAACAGACACCTGTCCATTGTTGAAGACTGTATGTTGACGATCTATAGATGCATTTTGATTGTAGTTTCATTGACATATAAGTGGGTCTAGATGATGGGTTCTTTCAATTCTGTATTCTTTAGACCATTATTCTCTATTCTTTATATTTTAGCACCTCATTATTCTCTATTCTTTATTTCTTTGGTTCATTTTTCTCTATTCCTTATATTTTTTGCCCATTATTCTTTATACTGTAAACCCCAATCCACACACTCATTGAAGACTGTATGTTGACATCTAGATGAATTTTGATTGTAATTTCATTGAAATATAAACCACATCCGTTTTTTTTCATATCAACAAGAATAGTTTTGAATAGAACATAAAAAGAGCCGAATGTAAACAAAATAAGAAATAAAAATATGCATGTTCATTTCAACATATCTTACCAATTATAAAATATCACAACAGTACGACAACCCAAAGTTTTATTCGAGAACAGGAGCCACGGTTTTCCTGCTTCTTTCTTTTCTAATGATATTTCTTCCATATGTTTTTCTGAAAATTCTGTCCTGTTTATGACAGCAGCATGCTTTAGAAGAGCTGTTGCCTCCTTTTTTCTACCTTTTCCACATAACCATCTTGGAGATTCGGGTATAAACCTATCAAAGATAAATAAAAATGTACTGCATGGTTCGAGATATCACGATAATTAGTTTATTCCATCTTTCATTTACATGTACTAAAATTTTTGGAGACCTAAATCTACACAATTAACAACTACACAGTGAGAATATCGCAGTTATGAATTATGTAAAATAAAATTAACGTGTTTGTGTCCTTGAAAGTTATTAATTATCTGGTTTTACAAACATTTGTATAATTTATCAGGTATGTTCAGGTAGTTTTATTTTGTATCTTATATTTTAAAATGGTATGCTGAATAAGAAGTAGAAATTCATTTTATTATGTAAAGGAACAGAAAGAAAATCAGAATATTTCAACAATTCGTACGATTTAAAGCTGCAAGCATCTCGAAAGTTATTGCAGAAAAAAATACGATTATCAATGTCACAATCAAAAGAGTAGAGTGCTCTAACATTGACCAAAAAAATTGATCGGGAAATGGTACGAATTTACTTACGTCTATACGACAGATGCATAACTCTGTTGTCATAGCAACAATATGGTTGCCCCTATGACGATTAAACCGGATAGGATTACTGCGCATATGACTTAGACTGAAAACAGAAAGTTAACGATTTTGTAATAAATCGTATGTTGATTTCCATATTGACTTTTTGAGTACATGTATTACGAAGACTTCGTTCTCTATTTGAAAAAAAACCAACATACCAACATAGAGCAAGGAAGACACCAACAGGGGCCGCAAATGCAATAATGATCCAGTTCCATTGTCTAACGTAATACGAAACCAGGATAAATATCAGAGTCCCTACTGTTCCAAGAAAGCCCATCATTAGTCCAGCAAACGTTCTTTTAGAAGGTCCAACCCATTCCATAGCTGTTAAAGAAAACCTTTCCAGTGTTATAATTAATTTTTTTTGGTAGATAAAAAAAAAACTCAAACATCGTAAATGAATTTTCAATTTGGCAATCAAGTGAAAGAAAAACTCGAGGGAATTGCATGAATTCCCTCCGAAGCAAGACTGGTTGCATCGACAGGGTAAGCATATTTGGCTATGTGCATAAAAGGAGATGTGGAGTATGCACCAATGAGATAGCAACCCAACGACAAAAGTAACCAAAAAGGCGTCTTAAGGTGGTACCAAACACCTTGCATGACTAAAATTAATTTGGCTCGCTTAATTTTCATAAAATATTGACAAAATATTTACTTTGACCCTTTGACAACAATATAAAAATTTCAAAAAACTTGAACCACACACTTCATCGGAAAAAAATCATTGGATATATAGCAGTTTGACAAACACTAATTTTGATCATTGAGAAGCTTAATATTTCCAAAACAATAGAATGTGATTAAAACGTTCAGCTGATTTATACAGAGTTATCTCCCTGTAGTGTTATGTACCACCTTAATTATTGCTTTATTGTTGATGCTTACCCCACATTTCGTATTCATGTTACGAACTTGCTATATATCATAATTATAATGTATCATTAAGTTAAAAAGTTTTAACTTTTCAGTATTAGTTTATTATTTTTAATTGTACTATAACCAAAGTTGCAACCCCCTCACGCAAAATGTACCTGATATCTTGTTATATGTACTGATATACCGTAAATATTAAACATTCAAATTGAGGAGCGGAATAAGTTAAAAGAGGTTGATTTAGGGTAAAAACATAACTCTTTAAAATTACTGGCATGTTTGTGTCAAGCATTTCCATAAATATATTCCAAGCTTTTAAGTTGCAAAGATTAATTTACTTCCATTTACGAACTATTAAAGTACAAACGCGTAGCCTGATTCAAAGAGTTATCTCCCTGAACCTAGATCTATCCCATTAATGAGGGTCTTGATGGGGCTTATAGAAAAGAAAATAATTGACCAAATCTAGAGAAAAAATGATAAAAAAAAATAAAGAATAGAGAATCATGGGGTGCTTAAATATAAAGAATAGAGAAAAATTACCTAAACATTAAAGGACAGAAAAATGAAAAACTCCCATCCAGACCCTTCTTACTGTTTGGTAGACTTACCAATAACATAAACTGTGATAAAAATTCCAACAGAAGACATTCCATTACAAAATCGTAGAATGACAAACATAAGGTAGTTAACAGACCATGCTAAAGTCATCCCAGACACAAACATAAATATCACAGACATCACTAACGTTTTCTTCCTGCCTAAACTGACAAAAACAAAAAATAAACAAAATGGATGCAGATAAGAAATATGTACTTTTCACCGTTCTTTATCTTTTCATTCGGGGAAAACTCAATGATAATAATGTATTTGCCTTATGTTGGCAAGCTTCTTATTGTTTGTTTTGATTATTTTCAAATGTTTTGATTTTTATGGCGATGGTGTCGTGTCTGTGGATTGTTTTTTAAATTCGTTTTATTTGTATAGATTGCCTGGACTCTGGACTGTTTGCAGCTAATTATGCAGACTGTGGTTTGTTGTTTGGACCATTTATTGATCTCTACATATTAGTTCTGATTTGTTGTCTAGTTTGGTTGCTGTTACGTTTACGTATACCCCGAATTCCGTTCTAATGTTAAGAGGTCATTAATTTAACATAAATCTAAGTTTTAAATTTTTTAATTAGTTTTTTACCTGAAGCAAATCTTGACCTTATAAGGTCTGTCTAAAATATAAGCGCTTTTTAACTTTCTGGTTATGACTGTTCCTGGTGAAAGATGTCGTTTGTATAGAAGCTAATGTACTATGTGTTTACTAGAGCAAAATACAGACCGTTGTTGGCGTCGAATTGTGCGTCATTGTTTTTTGTGTAATTTTTTGTCTCTAAACTAACAGATAACTTGGTAGCTTGGTGAAATAATTTTTTTTGTAAAGACTTCAAATGTTTATTGGTCAAAAAGTAAACGCCAATAATTTTCCAGTAAGCGGCATATTCGTGGTGAAAAAAAAATTAAGTTTAGAAAAGGAAAATGTTCAAAGAAAATATACAAGATCGCAAATGTAACTAAACTTTGAATTGACAAAAATATGTCCAACCATCAAATCAATAAACGTGTTGGGGATTGGTGCAGCCTGTTGCATGGTTCGGTAATTAGTTTCAATCTTGTTACTTAGTATCCTTTTTTATGTATTATTGTAAAGTTTATCACGAATTCAGGATATTAAATCCCACTAGGAAAGGTATTCACGGTGTTAGTGATTTTAAAAAAGAAAAGAAATAGAAGTTGGTTAAAATCTTGAGTGTTTAGTAATAGTTTACTTACGTATCAGAAATAACTCCAAACATAATAGATCCTAACAGAATTCCACCAAAGAAAATTGTTTTTGACAAGGCAACTTTGTATTTGTTATCACATACTAAATTTTCCTAGAATAATATAATACAAGGTGTCAGGAGTTATTAAAGGTATTGTTAGTTTATTTTGATACATGTAAGATGATAAGGCATATTCTATTCAGAATCAGCAACTCATTTATTCTATAAGTTAAAATCAAAACATAAGAGAAAAAGTTAAGTTTAACATATGGGTGTGAGATATGGGGATTCGAAAATTTAGATATTCTTGAGAGAGTTCATTTGCGTTTTTGCAAGCATATATTACGGTTAAAATATTCAACCCCCAATTGTATGATCTATGGGGTATTGGGAAGATACCCTATTTCAGTTACCGTCAAGTCACGTATGATTAGTTTCTGGTGTCGCTTACAAGAAGGAAAAGAGAGCAAAATATCATGTTTATTATATAAGCTGTTATATGTAAATCTCAATAACTATGGTTATGATAGTAAATGGTTATCATATATAAAGAAAATTTTTGATGACTGTGGAATGTCAAATATATGGCAAAGTCACAACTTATTTCAGAAACGTTGGGTCGTATTAAGTGTTCAGCAAAGATTAAGAGATCAGTTCATTCAAGAATGGTCAACAGAAATGAACAATTCGCCCAAGGGGCTGTGTTATAGATTGTACAAAAATGTTTTTAAATTTGAGCACTATTTATCAGTACTACCATTTAATTTATTAATAACCTTATGTAAATTTAGATGTGGGAATAACCGTTTGCCCATTGAGACGGGAAGGTGGCGCAACATTCCAAGATCTGAAAGATTGTGTCACCTTTGCGACTCAGCTGACATTGGTGATGAATACCATTATATCATGTCATGTAATTTTTTGAAAGATGAGAGAAGCAAATACTTACCACAATAGTGTAATAAAAATATAAATGTTATTAAATTCAAACAAGTATGTTCAACCCAAAATATTGATGAGCTTGAGAAACTTTGTAGATTTATTAAATCTATTTCTGTGAAAGTCTATCCTCCTGGTTAAAAACAACTATATGTTTATTTATCTTTTGTGTAAATATTTATCACATTAATTTGTATTTCACACATGCTATATTTAATATTTGTTATTATTGTAATATTTTCTCTGTAACTATGTATTTGGTTTATGAGAATAAAGATCATTCATTCATGTCATATTTTTATCATTACTTAATATTTACCCTTATGAATTTTCATTAATTTAGTCTTTCTTTTTAATCAGACGATTAATTCAAGTCTTGCCATTATGATTAATCGGTATGGTATGGCATTTCATAACAGACATTATGTAGCCAGTCTTTTTTTCAACTTATCGGTATGTTTTTGACCACCCGCAAAACTTCTTCCACTTTTTTTGAAAGTTGGAGTATTAGACCTACTGATTATAAGGTTGATCGATATAATAATTTGAAAAGGACCACACATAAACAGACAACCACAAGATTCCTTAATAAGAATAGGCAAACACAAATGATAATTTACTGTCTTGAGGCTAACCGCGCAATCTATATATCTGCATGTCAAAAGTCAGGAATGTTATCCTTTGGCTATATTGGAATTTTTGCTTAAATTAAATATTTAAATAAGGTTAATAAAAAATCTTACTTTCATAACGAATGTGTTATTAAACACTTGTTTACTGTAAACCCACGATCTACATTTCGATATGGTAGCATTGATTGGATGACTATAGTTATCAAATACTGTGTCTGATTGGTTAATGTTGTACACGTGACACTGTTCATACACCTGGTTGTCGTTTGTTGATGGTGGAATGAATTCATCAACAAGTCGTTGATGTTCGGGTCCTTGGATCGCATAGGTATCGTTTTCGAAGCCGGGAATTCTACATCTAAGAATAAAGATAGAAATATGTTTTACAATTATTTATTAAGGTTATTTTAGCAGCAGCTACAGTGACCGTGACTCTATTGAAATTCTATAATAACTTGTCCAGTACTTGTTTGTAATACAGTGAAGATGAGTACCATTCCGTATTTTATATCAATTTAAAAATATGGAGATTTACAAATGAAGTATAATAATTATCCACCACAGTTCAAATGACGTCATTTTAAACAACTGTAGGTCTCCGTTTGGCCTTCAACAATATATAAAGCTCCAGAGATGACAAAATGTCGACCTCAGAACGGTTTGACTGTCTTTATATATACTGACATTCCAGTTCTCGCTACTTTGGGCATTCCAAATAAAGTTTAACTGTGATTTTTTTAACACAGCATTTGGTATGGTTTGAATATGACTATTAGAGAACCCAAAACTTGTGAATTTACCATTAAATTATGCAGGTTCTAAATTTACCACACACTACAGATAATTTGCAGTATTTATTTCTTCATGAAGTTAGTAACCGTTTGATCTTGTTTCACAACTTTGCAGCCTGTGTCCTTAAATAAAGTTGCTATACGGTTTACGTTTTGCTGCTTGTAGAAGGCCGTACGGCTATTTGTTTTAGTAGTACGGCTATTTGTTACAGTAGTACAGCTATTTGTGACAGTAGTACGGCTATTTGTTACAGTAGTACGGCTATTTGTTACAGTAGTACGGCTATTTGTGACAGTAGTACGGCTATTTGTTACAGTAGTACAGCTATTTGTTACAGTAGTACAGCTATTTTTTATAGTAGTTATCACAATGCCATCCTGATTTGCAACGCTACCACATCTGTCTATTGTTTATTGAATATTGTTGCAGTAACTATATGTGTATTTAATCTTTTTTTTGGTTTCATAGTTGTGTTCAAGTTGGGTTACATTCTAACCGACTTATAATTATAAAGAGCCTTTCTTATTTTCCAAACTGTTTTAAAAACAATGTTAACAAGTTATGTTTGACCTCAAAGTTAACATTTTAAAATTATGCGAGGGGTAATAAGATCGTACTTATATCCTTGTACGACCGCCTGTTGATGTAAAAAGAGATGTTTTTTTTTCTTCTCAATAGCAAGTTGACAACGACAACGTTAGAAAAGATGTAATCAAAAACAGAAATGAATTATATAATTATATAAATACTTGAACAAACAATATGTCTGTTACATGTATACTTACCGCAACTAGGTTTTTCTTGTTTTTGTTGTACAGCACGTTATCAGTTAAAACTGTATTTTATTATCAATTACGTATGAAGAAAAGGAATGGTCTAAATTTCTTGCATTTTATTCGACGTGATGAAATTTGAAAATTAAAAAAAAAACTTTATTTCAGAAGCTAAGGTGTACGTAAACAATGTTTTACGTCTATTGACAAGGACACCATATGTCTACGTCTATTGACAAGCACACCATATGTCTACGTCTATTGACAAGCACACCATATGTCTACGTCTATTGACAAGGACACCATATGTCTACGTCTATTGACAAGGACACCATATGTCTACGTCTATTGACAAGGAACCATATGTCTACGTCTATTGACAAGGACACCATATGTCTACGTCTATTGACAAGGACACCATATGTCTACGTCTATTGACAAGGACACCATATGTCTACGTCTATTGACAAGGACACCATATGTCTACGTCTATTGACAAGGACACCATATGTCTACGTCTATTGACAAGGACACCATATGTCTCTATAATGTCTGTTTTGATTTCCCTCGGATGCCGTCGTACTGTACTTGTTACTATATTGCTTTTATTTCATCAATTTAATGTTCAACTTTAATTCTGTATTCCGCAACTTAACGATTACATTTTCGACACTTTCCTTATGAATTATTTGAGATGTGGTGAAAAGTAAAACAACAAAAAATACCGAACTCCAAGGAAAATTCAAAACGGAAAGTCCCTCATCAAATGGCAAAACCAAAAGCTCAAACACATCAAACGAATGGAAAACAACTGTCATATTCCTGACTTGGTACAGGCATTTCCTTACGTAGAAAATGGTGGATTAAACCTGGTTTTATGACTACCTAAACTTCTCACTTGTATGACAATTGCATAAAATTCCATTATATTGACAACGATGTGTGAAAAAGGGGAAGTCATCTCATTGCGTCTTTTCTAAAATACGCACGAAATGTTGATACATTAAAGCGAGTTCATGTATTATAATAGTCATTGTTTTTTTTTTTTAAATATGGATATATATACGTTTTAGTATGTTGTTAATCAAATACGAAAATTTGGGTCAAATCAATGAACATAAATTCAAAATTTGACACCTCATAATAAATTAAGATAAATTTTTGATTAAAGAGATGATATCATTGTTTAAAACATGTTATCTCAAATCATTGTCAATTAGAACATGATGTTAAGATTGATAGATATCATTAAAATAAATTTAGTTAAGTATGCAGTGTGAATCAAATATAAAGCAATGTTTACCTATGATCAGGAACTCCACTTACAAAAACAGAAAGCGTAATAAACGGTCCTGTAAGAGTCCAGCCAATTAGTAAAAGAATATAATTTCTCTTTTGGTAGGGCCCAAATGCTCCAATTTGTGTTAAAATGTCATCAAATTTCATATTGTGTATTAACTATTTAGCATGATAAATACACCAACACATATAATCTTAATCACACATTTGTTACATTGACCTAATAGTGAAATGTCAATTTTATTTTAATGATAAATAATTACATTTGTGATATAAATAGGAGATATATTGAATGATATCCTAGTATAACAAATAATTTGATTAAACTTAAATTTAAACAGTATGCATTTTTTCCCCTTTATTCTCAAATTTGTATCTGATTAGTAAAGTCCATGTCAATTGATTTGTTGTTGCACTTTGATGAGGGTCTCGAAGGGGGTCCTTCATTTCTGCATTCGTTAATTTTTATGCCATTTTTCTCTATTCTTTATACTTTTTGCCTATTATTCTCCATTCTTTATTTTTTTGGTCCATTTTTCTCTATTCTTTATATTTTTGCTCATTATTCTCTATTCTGTAAACCCCAATCCACACCCTCTATGATCAATATGCTGACAACTGTACACTAAAGCAGCTCTCATTTTATATAAAACAACACATCTAAAATAACCGATTTGTTGAGAAACACATGAAATAATATTAAAACCCAGAATAAATGCCGAAAAAAAATTGTAGATAACAAGCAATAAAGTTTCTAACATTTCATTAAAACAACACCATTCTGTGGCTCCGAGATTGCTTATTTTACTATTCAGGTACATAATTTCTGATGAAAGGGGAGATAATTCTTAGATATAAGAAGATGTGGTACGAGTGCTAATGAAACAACTCTCCTTCCAAGTCACAATTTGTAATAGTCTTACCTAAATTAATGCTAAAAATTATCGTAAAGATTGCAATTGTACACCAAGTCCATTGCAACTTACTTTTTATGTAAAACAATCCATTCTAAGTTTCCATGATTGTTAAATTCTATCTACGGTATGTTGAAGATGTTCATTGAAAATTGGAAATAATGCTATTCTCAAGTAAAACAAATATTTATCAAATATAAATTTTTGTTGCTCAAACTTTTTGTACAAACACAGCTACTGAATTAGTAAAGCTAAAATGGAGATATGGAATGTTCATCAGTTAGACAGCAAGCCAACGACCAGAATAGCCAATAGACATCTATACGTCAAAAAAACTAGTTGACACGGTAGACAGGTGTCCGTCTATAAAATATGTCAGGCTCTATGAAAGTAAAATACATTAATCAGAAATGATTAAAGATCTGCCATTAAACCCATTTCTCCAAAATAACGAAAAACATTAAGAAATGACATACGAAAACTACTGGCGAGGTTTTTCACTTGGGACAGAAACATAACTATATGTGTCGGAACGGCATGAATGGCCCCGCTAGCAAAACAAAGCTTGAATCCCTTTTTTGGACTGGAAATTTTTAAAGTCCAAAGCCCGTAATCTCGGCAAAAATCAGCGGAACGTAACCAAACGTAAACTCGATCTGTAACTCATCATAGTAGACTCACATACTAAAAATCAGCTCAATATGTGAAAGCGTTTAGAAAAAAAGTCCGTATAATTATTGGTTTCGGAATGAATGAATGACGGATAAGGGTAAAACTATATGGCCTCGACTTCAGTCGGTGGGACCATAAAAATGCGCAAAGCGTATATGAAACTACATACAATAAAAAACAGTACAAGAAAATCACTTTAATCTAAAGCAACGGCTTAATAAGGTAACAAAATTGAAAACACGAGATAAATAGCAGATGATTATTAAAGAATGCTCGCAGTTAAAGAATGCAAGCTTAAAATACTTAACCTGCTGATCATAAATCTTAATATAATCGATTGCTGACTTAATCGAAAATTTCTTACAACAACGGTTTAAATAGTCTTGGAACTAAAATATGATCTTGTGAAATGCTCAAATTGAACTACACAGGAAGAAAAGAAACATTTCGGTATTGCCTCAACTATAATAAAATAGCTAATATCAATTATGTATCCAAACAATACGACAGCCGCGGAGTCAGAATAAAACAGACATACCTTCTTTATCCAGCGGTAGTTAATCTTCTAGCCCTATTTCCTCTTGGCCCGCTTCCCAGAACCTATTGTTCTGGACCTTGATATGCATGAACTATTTGCCAGTGGGCCCTTAGCTAACAATTGATCGATCAATTAATATCAAAAAGAAACAGTTATTTATAAATGGTTTTTAATGTTTAGATTTAGACGTTCCTGATGAAGGTAAATCCAGAAAATCGCTTCTGACGCACGAAATGTATAAAGTATTTTTTGAAGTGTTATTTTCATTTATAATGTTTTAATTGGTTTTTAATTGAAAGGTGGTTTTGGGACATCAAGATATTTTTCACTGTGGCGTTAGTTTTACTCCACAACTTGTATATGGATTTGCGTTTCAATGTTATAACCGGCGATGCACTACTTTCATATATTTTATTACTCAAAATACATTATAACATTATTCTCATTCAATATGTGTTTGAATAAGTATAGTTTATACATAGAAATACATTCATAGTTCTTATTCAAGCAAAACACACAGCTAATAGCTTCTTCATTACTAACCTATAAACTGTACAATTTACTACTATATGAATTTTATGCATACATTGTATAACTGCTTAAAACTTTGTCATTGAGTCAATGCCATTTTTTACTGTAAATTCTTCCGGAATCTTTTTATTTGATTTTCTGAAAACAAATGAAATTTGATCAGTGATTGTCCTTCGACCGAGACATTTAAACCAAACTGATCTATTACATACTTTTTGTACAAACACAATAAATTGCCCTGGCTACGAAAATTAGCGAACAAAAATATCAAAACAAAGTGCTTTATTCGACATTTTATGCACATGGATTAATAAAATTTCAGGCAGTTCTAGCTCCAATCCGTATTAGACTACACTATGTAATAAAGAAAAAATAGTTCCGGAAAGGAATACATTAGTATACGGAGTTTGCATGAATTACATATACAGTTCGGCTTGTAAATAAATAAGTTTTGAAAAGATGTATGCATTTGAAAACACAGTCCATATTACGATATCTTCTTTTTTGGACACTATAAAATTCAGTTTTGTTGTATGGATATATGGATTGATTCTAAACGTGCAGTGACAAATATTACATGCGTATCAGGACGAAAACATGTTGATGTGGTTTTAATATGAAACCTGCGTTGTACTAGTTCGACACACTGAGCTGGATTTTTAACGTGCAAGTTACTTCTTAATGCCGCATGATTACATTTGACGCGGCAAATAACAATTTTCAAGTACTGTGCTGCCGGGTATATTACCTACGACCTCCCGCACGCTCCCTGGAGATCAACGCGACAGTTAATATAAAGGAAATGTCACTATAGAGACACATAAATAGTGTAGTTCTCAACTGATTGTGGCTGTAAAGCGTTTTAGATGACAAAACACCGAAGCTAAATTGTATCCACAAGTATCGCTTATTAAACTACAATTTTAAAATGTTGGTACTGAACATTCAAAAATAAAATTTCTATCGATTATACCAACAATGTCTTGGATCTGAAATACACATTTTTAATTATAGAATAAAAATAGTGCACAAGATATTATGAATTGTATCAAAATTCATTTTATAGAGATATATACGCTATTTGCATGAAACTAAAAAGATAGTTGCTGCAAAAAATGTAAATAAATCCATTTTAGAATGGAAACATGCTCCCATGTGATTGTACTGAACCATTTTCACATCTTTGAGTTGCTAAAATATACTATAAAAATATAAATGAAAACATTTGTGTAATACCGTAGTTGACTTAACTCACTTCCCAAAATTCTTTCCGTCTTCTATACTTTCAGGTAAATGTTGATTCAGTGTTTCCGGAAGAAGTAATGTCAAACCTGCAGCAATCAAACAAGCCCCTCCAAATATAACTAATGGTATGGCAGTGCCAGTAGTGCCTCCTACTAAATTAGCCTTAAATTGAAAAGTGCATTTTAAAAAGATTGTGAAATTGAATATTCGGCTAACTGATGAACGATTAATGTGAAGACGTATCATACTGTAAAGCATGAACACACGAACTTTGTTCTGATTTGCAGTTCCTGGGTAAAATGTCACCGGATGTTAACTTTCCATTAGCAACACGAGGGATGCCTCTATAAAGTAAAGAGCTTATCCCTCTCCTTATGCACACAAGTTCCCTCCAGTGAGTGTTTTTTTTTCGAGATAAGCAACTCAGAATTCTCCGAAACAGTAGTAACACCGTCTTTTTAGTCGAGCATAGCGTAATGCATATTTCCGCAGTTTCCGATTACTTTTGGCCATTTTGTTGTTTTTGTTTATTGCCACCTTGTTATCATCTTGTTTTAGAAAGTAATGCATATATTTAAAATAAACAACCATACATATAGAATTAAAATCTTGAAAAATTACTGCCACCATTAACGACATTCCTATTTTTGATTAGGCACTTTAGGATGTGACAGGATAAACTTGTTTTTTCTAAAAACACAACCTTTCTCAATCATTTCAAACAATACAATAACAAACAAAAAACTGCAACAACAAAAAAAAAAAAAAAAAAAAAACGCATGGCAAAAACGCATGACAAAAACGCAACACAAAAGCTTCGCCTATATTAAAAAAAATCTCGTCACTCATTTGACATACGCGCAATACAAAGTGCAAGGCAATTACGTGCTAAAATAAAACTACATAATATCATACCATAAAGTTTCATACTGGAGCAATGTATGTGTTGGTTGTTATTGTAAGTGTCTAATATATAATACACAATTAAATTGCTTTTGTCATGAAAATCTGGACTATTACAATGATACCGATTTCGAAAACAGCACAATAAATAAAAAAAAACAAAAAATATCTATCAAATATTGGAGGTTTGTGAAAACATATTTTTGTTAAAGTTTCTCCCGGAATCGATACATTACATAAGTATCAGTTATCTTCTATACGGGCTAAATTTATGTGTCGATTTTCATTTAAAGAGTCTAAAGTGACTTTTTACAGCTGACTATGTGGTATGGGTTTTGCTCATTGTTGAAGGTAGTACGGTGACCTATAGTTGTTAACTTCTGTGTCATTTGGTCTCTGGTGAAGAGTTGTCTCATTGGCAATTATACCACATCTGCTTATTTTTATACGTACAGTATCGGCTATGAAAGGTGAAATCATTCCACCAAGACGTGCCCAGCAAGAGCTTGATCCCATTCCTGCGTTACGTATAGCTGTTGGAAATACTTCAGCAGAAATGACGTATATAGTTGCAAAAGCTGCAGTTGAAAACAGTTTGCCTATCATAGCTAATGCTGTTGTCAATGGTTGCAGTTCTGGAATTGAAAATAAACTATGCTTAAAAAAACTGGCTATTTTATAAAATGTATCTTCGATTATGGTATTTTATTCGTATCTTTAAGAAGTCGGTGTTTGCATGTATCCGGTTTGTGTTGCAATCTAAGAAATTTACCATATCTATTCTGTTTGGATATTCATCATTTAGTCGACACGCTTTTTTTGAAAAGGTGGATAATTATTGTTTTAATGAGAAGATGGAAACGTTGTTTACGTGACATTTCTATAACCAGTCCCCCTAGTCTTTCACAAAGACGAACTTACTAAATGGAAAGATTTTAAAAGTTAATTGCAGGAGCACCTATGATCACCTCCAATTTGTGGTGGGGTTCTTGTTGCTCAGTCTTTGGTTTTCTATGTTGTGTTTTGTGTACTGTTGTTTGTCTGTTTCTTTTTGAGCCATGGCGTTGTCAGTTTATTTTCTATGGAAAGACAAAATATCATCAAGTAGTATTACAATCACATCACCCAATATCAAGGTTCCACATGAGGCAGCTGTGGCGTTTTTATATGATCCCAACACCGCATATATTTCTGACGTTATCACGTGACTTTATTGTGTAAAATGGAATCAAACACAGGAAAACGGACATCCTGGGACTGAAGTATTAACCGTCTTACCTTTCCCGCCATAATTAACAGTGAATATTGTGCTCAGACAAGATAACCCTCCAACAGTCATATAAATAATATGACTCTTTTTTCGTCCTATTCTATCAATCATGAAAATAGGTAATGCACGTCCTGGGAATTCCATAAGAACACTGAGCAGAAAATTAATGTAGTAATCTCCATACAGCATTCCAGTATTGAGTGACAAACCATAAAACACCATACTAGCTACCATCCTGGAAACAAAGGAGAGTAAAAATGCATAGTTCTTTTAAATAATGTACAAAAGAGAGGCGAAAGATACCAAAGGGACATTCAAACTCCTAAGTCGAAAATAAACTGAAAACGCCATGACTAAACAAGAAAAAGACCAACAGACAAACAGACAAACAAAAGTAAATAAAACACTACATAGAAAACTAAAAACTGAGCAACACGAACCCCACCAAAAATTGGGAGTGATCTCAGGTGCTCCGGTAGTGTAAGCAGATCCTGCAAATGTACGTACAAGATAGATACACCTTTCTAGATGAAAACCTCAGACATTCTGTTTCCCAATAGACACACTTGCATACTACATGTAACACGTGACCATGTCCGTTTCTGGCATATATGATTTCATATTCTAGTCATTTTTGAATGATGCAAGAATATGGAATATAGCAAACTTCAATGTATATCGAGGGAGATTTTTAACAATCTTTACTTCCCATGAGGGTCTTGTATGGTCGGGTATGCATATCATAAAACTTAATGTTCATACATATACTGGCCTGATTGTTTTTCTTTTTAGAAAAGCTAATACTCATTACAACAATTGACATTTTCTTGTTATAAATATTGGAAACTTAGGCAACCTACCAGATTACAAGACGACTTACGATTACGTTCTAACAATTATATCTCAACTTTTGTATATATTACGAATATGAATAGTCAGATCTATGTAGAAAAAAAAATAATAACAAAAATACTGAACTCCAAAGTGAATTCAAAAGGGGGAAGTCAATAAAACCAGACCAAATCAAACGCTCGACTATACCAACCAACATAACACATGGAAAGCATATGTCACTTCTTGACTTCGTACGAAGACAATGGTGGGTTAAACCTGGTTTTATAGCTAGCCAAAGCTCCCACTTGTATTGCAGTTGTTTATAGTTCCGTTATTGACAAAATAGGTTAAAATCTAACACTAATGTGTTTGTGTTTTCTGTTAGATCTTCAAAGAATCTAGTGTTAATGGTATATATTTGGTAGTCAATGTTAAATTCGTTTGACACTTACATTACTTTGGTCGATTTAAAGCGTTACCTATTAGGATCTTTTCTTGTTTATTGTGTTGTTTGGTTACTGTCTGTTTTGTTCACCTGCTTTTATTGTTAGCATTTCATAAATGAGGATCTAAATGGGTTTTGCTGAGTAGATGATAATGGGTTAAGAATTAAAAAAAATATAGAGAAATGGGTAAAACAATAAAGAGAGATAATGATTACAGAAATGTGGACCCTCCACCTAATTCTAGACCCCCTTAAATGTATATATGATACATCTGTTTACATACTTTATTAATTAAAATAAAAATGTAAACATGCATATTGAACTAGCTTTAATTAACTGAAAATACTCTCAGATCTGTACTTCGTGTCTATTGCGTTTTTGTTAGTTATTTTTGAGCTTTGATCGATCTGATTAGTTAAACCCTTCTCAACTTATTTTTATAGTGTGTTCTCATGTTGTGCTGTAACACCACTGTCTCAGGTTAGGGGGGGGGGGGGGGTTGGGGTTGGATGCCCGCAAACATCTTAAACCCCGCCACATTCTGTATGTGCCTGTTGATACCAAGTCAGGAGCCTGTAATTCAGTGGTTGTGGTTTGTTGCTGTATATGATAATTTGTTTTTTCGTTTATTGTTTTGTACATAAATCAGGCTGTTAGTTTTGTCGTTTGAATTGATTTACATTTGTCATTTTGGGGTTTTTAAAAGCTTGTTATGTGGTATTAATTTTTCTCAATGTTGAAGGCCGGTGACCTACTTATATTTACTAACGTTTACGTTACTTGATAGCTGGTGAATAGTTGTCTCCTTGGTAGTCATACCACATCTTGTGCAAAATCAGGCGAGTAAAAAGAACAACATATGAGCCGCTTCGGATAGAAATCAACCTTATGCAAAAAAAAAAAAAAAAAAACAAAAATCGATTTGAGTTTTGTTCATACTTATTTTGTAAATAATCATAAGATTTAGATACAAAAAACAGTTTTACTCTAGCTTTTTTCTTTAACGTCGTGAAATTAATCTGAACGTTATCGTGTGCTAATTCTATTCTGTATCGGTCTTTTTCTCTAAATGAAGACAGACATGAAACCACGTATTCGTATACAATATAATACTTAATTTGAAAGATTGTAACAATGAAAAGGTAAACGTTTCTTAAGTTTTCAATCCCGAATTTATCAGAAATATACCGTTGAAAATATTACTCTCCTGAAGCACGAGAACATATAGAAACAAATATAAATACATTAAGCGACTCAACAACTTTTACAAAATTGAGCTGCGTCGGATAGAAATCGACCTTATGCAAATGAATATCAATACATCTGTTGTACCTTCTTTCGAGTAGTAAAAATCACCCTATATGCAAAGTGTGTAACTGTTTGAAAATTGATATAACAACCCTACAAATCAGACCAAAATTCATCTTTTAATTTGTATTGCAATGTTCCAAAATCCATCAAAGTCTTATACATGTACATGTATACGTGCACTTGCATAAGGTCGATTTCTATCCGACGCAGCTCATTAATATAGCAGCCGAATCTTACCAATTATAAAATATGACAACAGTGCGACAACCCAAAGTTCTGTCTGAAAACAATAGCCAGACTTTTCCCGCCTCTTTCTTTTCTGGTGCTAATTCTTCCATAACTTTTTCTGAAAATTCTGTTTTGTTGATGAAAGCGGCATGTTTAAGTAGAGCAGCTGCCTCCTTTTTTCTACCTTTTCCACTCAACCATCTGGGAGATTCTGGTACGAACCTAAGGAATAATTCTACGTTTGTATACTAAAAATACTGACAGTGACAATATTATAGTTCATTTACTTAAAAACAGATGAGTAAAATTAATGGCTGTGTGAATAATTTTTAATTTTTTCTAAATTTTATTTCATTCTCAAAACGGAAAGCACAAACATTGCATGTAAAATGTTTATGTTTCTATTTTAGGACGAAAAATAGAAATCAATTTTCATGGCTAAACTCAACCGTTTATTGCTACTTGAAATAATTATATAATATTCGTAAATTGTAGGAAAATATAAAATTTATGTGGACGAGCTTTGATTTAGAACAGAGAGAAAAACGAATACGTTCTCCTGTACAAACACATTACATATGTACGAATACTGTTTTTATCCTGCAATTTAATATTAACGCTTAAACGTATAGTTTACCTTTACTTCCCAACCGTTGAATTTATTTTTTTAATGAAATCAACATGACTTAAACGCGGAACGCGATGAGGACCACGATTGTGATGTAAACAGAACTTGAATATAACCATTTGCTAACGGAAAAGATGGATACCAAGAGAATATAAATTCTGTATACTTGTATTTTTATTGTACAAAGGACGATTGCAGGATTATAATATAATATATTTTAGAACAGCTTTATTATAGCGTGAATTCAATAAACAAGTATTTACATAAATAAAGTCCTTTCAAATTGTACGATAATTATTAACAAAATACTGCGATATAAACACGTGTTTTACTATTACTAATAATTGATCTGGTTTCGAATTTTATGCCAACTACTTCCCCAATGGGAACATACAAGTCAGGAGCCTGTAATTCATTGGTTGTCGTTTGTTGCTGTATATCATATTTGTTTTTGTTCATTATTTTGTACACAAATCAGGCCGTTAGTTTTCTCGTTGGAATTGTTTTACATTTGTCATCTCGGGGACTTTTAAAGCTGACTATGCGGTATGGGTTTTACTCATTGTTGTACGGTGACCAATAGCTGTTAATGTCTGTGTCATATGGTCTCTTGTGGAGATTTGTCTCATTGGCAATCTTATTTTTATATACATACCACTACCTTTTTGTACGTTTTTCCCCCTGACATCTTTCCGGCTGCTAATAGTACAAATGTAAGAGTTAAACCGAAACACACCAGGTATCATGATCCGAAAACGCGGATGGATCCGAATCCCTAGGAGCAATTAATGAACAGTGTCTAACGCTATGAAAGTAAAATCTGGATCCGATTCCCGAGGAGCAATTAATGAACAGTGTCTAACGCTGGGAAAGTAAAATCTGGATCCGATTCCCACAGAGCAATTAATGAACAATGTCTAAGGCTGGGAAAGTAAAATCTGGATCCGATTCCCACGGAACAATTAATGAATAATGTCTAACGCTGGGAAAGTAAAATCTTGATCCGATTCCCACAGAGCAATTAATGAACAATGTCTAACGCTGGGAAAGTAAAATCTGGATCCGATTCCCACGGAGGAATTAATGAACAATGTCTAACGCTGGGAAAGTAAAATCTGGATCCGATTCCCAAGGAACAATCATGTAATGAACAATGTCTAACGCTGGGAAAGTAAAATCCAGATCCGATTCCCACAGAGGAATTAATGAACAATGTCTAACGCTGGGAAAGTAAAAAATCTGGATCCGATAACCACGGAGCAATTAATGAACAATGTCTATTGCTGGGAAAGTAACATCTGGATCCGATTCCCACGGAGGAATTAATGAACAATGTCTAACCCTGGGAAAGTAAAATCTGGATCCGATTCCCACGGAGGAATTAATGAACAATGTCTAACGCTGGGAAAGTAAAATCTGGATCCGATTCCCAAAGAGCAATTAATGAACAATATCTAACGCTGGGAAAGTAAAATCCGGATCTATTTCCACAGAGCAACTAATGAACAATGTCTAACGCTAGGAAAGTAAAATCTGGATCCGATTCCTACAGAGCAATAAATGAACAATATCTAACGCTGGGAAAGTAAAATCTGGATCTGATTCGCACAGAGGAATTAATGAACAATGTTTAACGCTGGGAAAGTAAAATCCGGATCCGATTCCCACAGAGGAATTAATGAACAATATCTAACGCTGGGAAAGTAAAATCCGGATCTATTCCCACAGAGCAACTAATGAACAATGTCTAACGCTAGGAAAGTAAAATCTGGATCCGATTCCCACGGAGGAATTAATGAACAATATCTAATGCTGGGAAAGTAAAATCTGGATCCGATTCCCACAGAGAAATTTATGAACAATGTTTAACACTGGGAAAGTAAAATCCGGATCCGATTCCCACAGCGCAAATAATGAACAATGTTTAACACTGGGAAAGTAAAATCCGGATCCGATTCCCACAGCGCAAATAATAAACAGTGTCTAACGCCGGGAAAGTAAAATCTGGATTCGATTCCCACGGAGGAATTAATGAAACAATGTCTAACGCTGGGAAAGTAAAATCTGGATCCGATTCTCACGGAGGAATTAATGAACAATGTTCAACGCTGGGAAAGTAAAATCCGGATCCGATTCCCATAGAGCAATTAATGAACAATATCTAACGCTGGGAAAGTAAAATCTGGATCCGATTCCCACGAAGCAATTAATGAACAATGTCTAACGCTGGGAAAGTAAAATCTGGATCCGATTCCCACAGAGCAATTAATGAACAATGTCTAACGCTGGGAAATAAAATCCAGATCCGATTCTCACGGAGGAATTAATGAACAATGTCTAACGCTAGGAAAGTAAAATCTGGATCAGATTCCCACGGAGCAATTAATGAACAATGTCTAACGCTGGGAAAGTAAAATCTGGATCCGATCCCACGGAACAATTAATGAACAATGTCTAACGCTGGGAAAGTAAAATCTGGATCCGATTCTCACAGAGGAATAATGAACAATGTCTAACGCTAGGAAAGTAAAATCTGGATCCGATTCCCACAGAGCAATTAATGAACAATGTCTAACGCTGGGAAAGTAAAATCCAGATCCGATTCCCAAGGAGCAATTAATGAACAATGTCTAACGCTAAAGTAAGTAAAATCTGGATCCGATTCCCACAGAGCAATTAATGAACAATGTCTAACGCTGGGAAAGTAAAATCTGGATCCTACTCCCACGGAAGAATTAATGAATAATGTCTAACGCTGGGAAAGTAAAATCTGGATCCGATTCCCACGGAGCAATCAATGAACAATGTCTAACGCTGAGAAAGTAAAATTTGGATACGATTCCCACGGAGGAATTAATGAACATGTCTAACGCTGGGAAAGTAAAATCTGGATCCGATTCCCACGGAGCAATTAATGAACAATGTCTAACGCTGGGAAAGTAAAATCTGGATTCGATTCCCACGGAGCAATTAATGAACATGTCTAACGCTGGGAAAGTAAAATCCAGATCCGATTCCCACGGAGCAATTAATGAACATGTCTAACGCTGGGAAAGTAAAATCTGGATTCGATTCCCACGGAGCAATTAATGAACAATGTTTAACGCTGGGAAAGTAAAATCTGGATTCGATTCCCACGGAGCAATTAATGAACAATGTCTAACGCTGGGAAAGTAACATCTGGATCCGATTCCCACGGAGTAATTAATGAACAATGTTTAACGCTGGGAAAGTAAAATCCGGATCCGATCCCGCAGAGCAACTAATGATCAATGTATAACGCTGGGAAAGTAAAATCTGGATCCGATTCCCACGGAGTAATTAATGAACAATGTTCAACGCTGGGAAAGTAAAATCCGGATCCGATCCCGCAGAGCAACTAATGAACAATGTCTAACGCTGGGAAAGTAAAATCTGGATCCGATTCCCGCAGAGCAACTAATGAACAATGTCTAACGCTGGGAAAGTAAAATCTGGATCGGATTCCCACGGAGGAATTAATGAACAATGTCTAACGCTGGGAAAGTAACATCTGGATCCGATTCCCACAGAGGAATTAATTATGAACAATGTCTAACGCTGGGAAAGTAAAATCCGGATCTGATTCCCACGGAGGAATTATGCTGCGTGGGAAACGGATCCAGATTTTACTTACCTGGCGTTACATCTTGTTCATTAATTGCTCATTGGGATTCAGATCCCTTCGCGGATTACGGATTCGGATACCCGTTGTGAGTATAATAAACCAAGTAAGAAATCAAGGACATTTTTAGACAAAAGGTATTCATTGCAAAAAAAAAATGAAATATATACATCTAATGCACTGCGTGACGTCATCAGAATTATAGATATAAAATTAATTGCTAAAATTCAATACAGTCACGGACTCTAGATGTGACGGGTTTGTCCTAGTGTGTATATAATAAAAAAAACCAAACATACCACCCAAGAGCAAGGAAAAAACCAATAGGAATAGTTAGAGCAACAATAATCCAGCTCCATTGTCTAACATAGAACGATACCAAAATGTAATATAAACTTCCTACTGGACCAATTAATGCTATCACGAGCCCCACAAATGTTCTTCTCGACGGTCCAACCCATTCCATTCCTGGTATAAAAGTAATCAAAATATACTCCTTTTACAAAGAGGTATGTCGTTTGTACAATTTTGAATAAAATAAAATATTGTTTAAATTAAAGAGGTACATGTATGTCCAGCTTTATTTTCTTTTTTTGGCCTACTCGTACAATCAAAATATGCAGATTTTTCAAAAAACGACAGTACAGTAATGTGTTTGGATATACTAAGCATACTTATTTGTTTTAAAATCTTATAGTATACATGCCCACCCTTACGAAACATCACTGATACATTGATTTTATTGATAAACATTCATTTTCTGAAAAAAAAACTAAGCGTTGTGCAGAGGCGTTCTGTTAGAGTATAACGAGTTTCACGGATGATAAGCCGAATTACACTTATCACCGGAGTTGTACTTATATATGCATCACGACGGGTGCAACATGCGGAGTAGGATCTGCTTACCCTTCCAGAGCTCCTACTAACACTCCCGGTTTTTGGTGGTGTTCGTGTTGCTTAGTCTTTGGTTTTCTATGTTGTGATCTATATAGTGTTGTTAGTCTTTTTGGTCGTTTTTCGTTTTTTTGGCATGACATTGTCAGTTCGTTATTACTTATGAGTTTGATTAATTTTTAGGTAATTTTCGCCTCTCTTCAAATGTAAAAGAATTAAACTAAAATATGTTTTCATATAAGTACTTACCAATTACATACACTGTCATAAACACTCCCACTACACAAACCCCGGTACAAAACCGGAGAACAACAAACATCGTGTAGTTAACCGAAAAGGCTAGAGACATCCCGGATGCAAACAAGAATATCCCTGCCACCAGTAAAGTTTTTTTTCTCCCTATACTGACAGAAAATATTAAAGACAAAAAAAGTTTAATTTTTTATCCACTAAGTAATTTGTGACAAATACATGTATGTACATTTCCTAAATGTAAATTACCATCTCTATTTTTTAAGGAAGTATGGGAGGATGAAAACAATTATACTGATTTTTTTAATACTTTTTCAAAATTTAGTTTACATCGTATTTTTTTTCTACATAGCATGCAAAATAATGTAAAAAAAATCACATTATGTAAGGATTTTTTACGAAAAATTTTAAATAGTAATACATAAAAGATATAATTCTTTGAGAAAAATAAAAATAAAAATAAGATAAAATATGCAAGTAAAATATAGCTTGCTGTTCGATGTGAGCCAAGGCTCCGTGTTAAAGGCCGTACTTTGACCTATAATTTTTTTTAAATCCATTTCTATAGAAACATTTAATACAAGCGGGTCAGTAAATATTTACACAGAATACTTACGAATCAGAAATAACTCCGAACATAAAAGATCCCAACAGAACACCTCCGAAGAATATTGTCTTTGACAAGGAAACTTTGTACTTACTATCACATACCAAGTTTTCCTAAAATACATAGAAGTGCAATCTGTTGAAAATAGCTTCTTATGACAGAACTACACAAAACTATATAGGAACATAATATAAACACAACAACAAATATCAGTCAATACTAAAAGCGTTGAGCATGTAAATGGGATAATCATGTTTAATTTAAAAATGCACGTGTCAATTGAGAAAGAGTAAATATAGTAGTTTTAATGTTGAAAGAACATATTGAATATTGGCGTCATTTTCAATTACGTTATTCCTTTGGTTGTTCAATTTTTGGTCTATGACCAATTTAATGTTAAATTTATAATTTTGTGTTAAGTTGCTGTTTTAAGTTCCTGAATAATCATTAAGTTTCGTTGCAGTGCGTTGTCGTTTAAATATATTGTTTTGATTTGGTTATATCTTAACTATCAGGGTACGTGCTACCATTGGAAACGGATATATTGACCCAAATCCGAATTGGATGAAAGTAAGAACATCTGTAAAACAATCTTTTCCAAATCATTTCCTTGATAATCCAAATACTGTTTTTGCATTTTTTTGCAATTACCATGAAACATAATAGAAGATGAGATAAAGAAATAAGTCAACAAAACCGAAATTGTCGATCAACTACTTTTAGTAGTATATTTGTAAGTGTCCTTGAATGATGATTTGTACCATTTTTTGCAGTTTTTACTATTGTGTTCAATAAAATTGTAATATATAACTAGAATCTTAAAACAGCAAACATGATACGCAAGATCCGATCTACACATAATCGATTACTTATTTTTTTTTATACTCATCTCCGTAAATGCATGTAGAAGCCTAACAAAACACGAGCACTTAATTTAATAACATCGGTATTACGGACAGAAACATACCCCCTCCCCCACCAATAAAAATATTTACAAAAAAAAAAACAACGGATCAAACAAAGCAATAAATCTCCTCAACGAAAAAAAATGTCTTTTGGTATTAATGAAACATTGTTTGGTATAAAAATAAAAAATCGAGTACAAAGTTCAATCTTACTTTCATAACAAATGTGTTATCAAACAGCTTTTTACTGTAAACCCATGAACTGCATTTGGATTTGGTAGTATTGATTGGGTGGCTGTCATTATCAAATACTGTGTGTGATTGGTCAATCTGGTATACGTTACACTGTTCATAAACTTTGTTGTCATGTGTTGACAATGGAATGTATGTGTCAATTAGTCGTTGATGTTCAAATCCTTGAATTTCATAAGTGTCGTTTTCCAGGCCAGGAATTTGACATCTGAGAAATAAAGAAATACATTGTAAAGCATGGTAATAATCCATGTATTATCATTATTCTAAAGAAATGTTCTACTAAAATGCTGATTCAAAATATCGACTTTTAGCAGTTGATCATTATGTTTTCTAATTCTTTTAAAAAGCATTAAAATATCACAAAAGGGCCAAGTAATACCAAAATATATTTGTGAAAAATCATTTATACAATGGCTTTTTCCAGACTTTTAGCTGGAGACAGTATAATGTTTTATTATGTATCTGTATATATACGTCAAAGATACCAATTTCGGCTTTTATTCAACGGGAGAGAGACATCTATTGACGGTGTTGGAGAATAGTGTCTAGTGCCTTCGTATTGTTCTTCACTAAATTTGACACTATATTGGCACTTTCAAAGTTATCAATTCTTTTCGGTTTAATTTTTCTCTTTTGTTTTTACTTTTAACAAGAAAATCGTTAGGATTAATAGCTGGGACCAAACCCTCAACCACTTTGTACATAAATACCAGCGATTGACTTATTTTTCTTGACTGTAGATTGTCCAGTTCTAACTCGGTTCTTATAACTCTATTGTGGAATACAAGTTTTTAAAAATATACCCTGCAATGCACTATTTTCTCTTGACAACATTCATCAGTTATCCTATGAAATACCTAAAACATGGAGAAATACTATACAGCCTGTACTATTTTCTGTATTATAATTTTATATTTGTATAAAATATTTCGCGTACACTCTTCCTTGAGAAATAAAATGCCACATTTTCCGATATTTTTACTGGTCTTTCTTTAGAAATATAATAACACCCAAACAGTAGACCAATTCCGATGAGTGATACTATTGCATCTGAACCGGTAAAGCATTTATACTTAGTCCCTAAAGTTTGGTATACACTAGAGACGTTCCGAGTAAAACGACATAAATACTTAAGCAGGCAAGTCAGAGATAAGCAAGATGTTGGAAATGGACATTTCCAATTTACAGCAAGCATCAAAACTGCAGGAATTGGACAAAGTATCATCAATGTTGAAATATTTGTAACTATACAAATATACAATTATTGACTTTTGATTAGGTTGATACATTGATTTATCAAGCCCAGAGATATTATATTCACCGAGGACAACGGCCAAGGGTGAATGTCATATCTCTGGGGTTTATAAGTCATTGTATCAACTGAAATCAATAGTCAACAATTGTTTTATAACATCACTTTTCATCCTTCTCCGATTTTCTAGTATTAGCTCAAGATACTTCTAAAACTGCTCCTTTTTTATACTAAATATATCATCTGCTTTTACAGTTGCTAATTTTCATCATAAGTTTAAATATTCCATAAAGTTTACAAAAAAAAAATACACCGAAAACAAGAAGAAAAAGAAAAAACGGGAATTTACAAACGTCATAAATCTACATCAGTACATGTACGTCATTGACGTTGCCTTGGAATATCTATATTTAGATACACGGACGCTGTTCCAAATCTTATATTAACCTCTAGTGATTTTTGCCGCGGTGAATATAATGTTTTATCAAAGAGATTTTCGAATGATTTTCGCCAATGAGAAAATAGAAAAATTATAGTCATATAATAAAAAGGGTTATTGCTCTTTAATTGTGGAATATCATGAATATTGAGCAACATGAAATACTGCTGTCGACAATGATCCATCAATATAATAGCAATAATGCTATACTATCTGATAAAACTAGAACTACATGTAACTATATTCATCACAATGTTCTTAATAGACATTTGCGGAAACTAGGTCTATACCTAGGATTACACTTAGACTTACGATAACAGTTGACGAAAAACAAGGGGTCCTCTCAAAATAAAAAAAAAAAAATAAACCCAAATAGAGATACATAGTAAAATGATTTTTTTTTATCATGTAAATAAGTCTTTTCGACGACACACAAATGCAGAAACTTATGGTTACCACAGATGTGAATCTCCACGAAGTCCCCATAACTTTGTGTGTTTTTTTTAATTCTCCGATGGCGTTGTCAACCTCTACTCTAATATGTCTATTTAATTTTCTACATTTCCTCTGCATCTTCTTGGGTTTGTCTTACGTAAGGTGTCAATATTGGATATCTGTACGGATATATTGTGTCGCCTAGAAAAAACAGATCAATCGGGAAAGGTCATTCTTGTATTTCTCATCAACATACATTGCTGATGCCAAAGAAATCCGCACTCAATATACCATATCCTGTCTTCGTTCAATATTACAACTTGAGTGTGAATGCAGTGACAATGTCTGTGTCCTGAGAAATACTGTTCCTGTGGTTCCGTTATCGACCACAAATTTTCCGTCGATAGCCCTAATGCAAACGCAAGTTTTGGCCACCCACCTTGTAAGTTCTGCCAATCATCCAAAAATGGTCAATAAAAAAGACGGTTATATGTTTCTTGAAATAGGTATACATCTATTTGTTTCATCTTTGGTAGTCGAAACACTAACTTCAACTATTTTAGAAGACTGTTTCGATTGTAACCATAACATAAAAAAAAAATTATGTTTTCCGGGGAAAGCGTATGATCCCGACCGGTTCTCTGTCTGAAGAGACCATTAACATCGGCTACAATTTGAAATAACGACTAGGAGTTTCAATTGTAAAAGGAATATCGGATGCTTGCAAAACAAGTGAACACATCGCTCCCATTCCAAAAGTGTACATCATTGCCTATAATATTTCCCTGATTGAAAAATAATGGTTTGTCGGTGGTCAAGCTAGGACTACCAGGGTTAGAATCAGACGACGAAATATGTACCATAACATCAGTTAGAGTCTGCATCAAGGCAGGTAATGCTGTCATGGTTAATCTGTGTGTACCATAACATCAGTTAGAGTCTGCATCAAGGCAGGTAATGTTGCCATGGTTAATCTGTGTGTACCATAACATCAGGTAGAGTCTGCATCAAGGCAGGTAATGCTGTCATGGTTAATCTGTGTGTACCATAACATCAGTTAGAGTCTGCATCAAGGCAGGTAATGCTGTCATGGTTAATCTGTGTGTACCATAACATCAGGTAGAGTCTGCATCAAGGCAGGTAATGTTGCCATGGTTAATCTGTGTTCTTCAGAACGATGAAAATAAAATTAATATAAAAAGAAGATGTGGTATGATTGCCAATGATACAACTCTTCACAAGAGCAAATGACACAGAAATTAACAACTATTATAGGTCACCGTACGGCCTTCAACAATGAGCAAAGCCCATACCGCATAGTCAGCTATAAAAGGCCCCGAAATGACTATATAAACAATTAATAAAACATTCGAAGAATTCTTATCAATAGTTCCACTCGCTTTACAAAAGCGGGCGGTATATTGTAAAAGGGAGTCCTTCATCTTTTACACGATTACACTTTTGTATCCACAAAACAACTTCTCCCTAAACGACTAAAATAGTGTATGTTTTTTTTAATAATAACGTTTAAATCTTGCCAAATAATATAAACGGTATTTTTCTACTGTTTTTGACGTTAACGATACATGTAGTAAATATCGCGTTTGCGATTTTTTTTAAATATCAGCTTATCATTTATATCTAGATCTTAAAGATTTATATATGAAATATGAAAATATCTCGTTATAAATGATGTGTCATGTGTTTGATTAAAATTCGGATCTACTTAATATTCGTGTGCATTCACACATCTATACAAGAAGATAGCATTTAAGTCAAGAATGAAGTAATATAATTTATTTCTAAAGAAATATAAAAAAAATCATCGTTTGACAAAATTGTTTGACTTAAATTGGGTCCACAGACATCCGTGTACTTAAAAAGACAACTTAGTAAGCGCTTTGACTATCAATACATCTAAAATTGGGTTCACAGCCATCCGTGTGCTTCAAGAATATTTAAACGAAATTCTTGGGGATCTATACTTTGAAATGCTTGATTTAATTTAAAATGTAATGCATGTATATGTTTAATGCAAATTTAGTTACTTTATTCTTTTTAAAGAGAAAACGACGAAAAGGTGCATTTAGAACCTATAAGTCGAAGAAAAAAGACTCCACCATGGTCAAAATTAAAACGACGAAAATACAAATAAAAGTCCACAAAAACTCCACAAAAAAAATATATGTTTTCCAATTATAACAGTAACGGTTAGATAATTGACAACTCTGACAAATAAGTACCAATTATCAGGTTTTCTGCATATTGATATCGTAAAATATCAGCTGCGAGTCACAGTATGAAGTTTTTTGTCGAGTGAGCGCAGCGAAAGAGATCAAAAAGGCTTCATATTGTTTCGTGCAGCTCATATTTTACAATATAAATATGCAGACAACCAGATAATCGATTTATCGGGTTGTATTTGTGTATTTTGCATGATAGAAACGAGTGTTTTCTTTGTTTCACCAGCAAATCGGAAGATGACGTGATAAGTTCGGGTCAAACTTATCAACGTCGGTTCATATATTATGACGTCGGTGATATGTCCGGGTCAAAGTTATTAAGGCCGGGTCAACGTATTTGACGTCACAAAGCCGTGATATGCAATTTTATTAAGAGCTGAGCAGAGTGATACAGAAAGAGGGACGACCGATAGGGATAATTTGACAAACCACAATATAAATTGAATCAAGTTGACGGTAGTAGAAAATTACTATTTGGCGCATGACGGTAAAAGGCATTTCAACCATCTTGAAAGATTTCTAGGATCACTTATTACAACACGGGCCCGTATGTGTAAAGACGAATATATATATATGCTTTATATTTTTATTGCATTGAAAGATATTTGTTGTTTTATATTTTTAATTGATCTCGCTAGGCCGTCATAAAACAATTTATAGTAACAGAACTTATTGAAATTCATCGAACTGACAAGTTGTCACAACAAGCTAAGATGGTCAGTTAGGGGAAACTGAGAAGACAAAAACAAACAAAAATCCTATCAAACATAAAAACCAAGAAGAGCCACTTGTCTGACAAGTGTTTCAAACTGGTCCGAACTGTCTTCAAAATTGGTCCGGGTTGTCTTTTAATTGGCCCGAGATTCCACCTCAAGCTGCCAAGAAGCCATTTTTACCGATATTTTGTTGAAATCCCGTTGTTCAACTATATAAAAACATCATAGGAGTTAGTCTTTGTTTTAAACCGACGGTTTATATTTACACTTTGAAACGACCCAAGATTTAAATGCTACCTGTAAGTGTAATTGTAATCCTAATCGCAGGTGTATACCAGTTTCCGCAAATGTCTAATCCTGCATAAAAAACTTTTTTTAATTATACATGTGATAAAATAACTACATGATATATTTAAATTACTGAATACATTTTGCTTGAAGGAGGCTGTCTTCAACAAATACGTGATTTTGTTGGTTTTATCACGGAAATTCTTCCAATAACGGTCAAATTTGACAATGAGACGGATTATTTATCAAGTAAATCTTAGTAAGGTCCTATCATTTACAATATTGTAAACAAAAACAATTGTCCCAAGATTGGCTAAGTACTGGATTTATGGAGAGTTATTAAAAATATTTGAGTAATGTTTATATTCTAAAAACTCTCAAGAGAAAAGCGATTAATAAAAGAGTTGCAATTTTTTTCATTTTGGTTGACTCCCAATCCTAGCATTTCATTACATTTTTTATCTAATACAAATTTTTCATTCGTTTTTAGAGTTTAATCGTTGATTAATTTCATACCTTTTGAATCTGTATATGATATACACCTCAAAGAATATGTATCTCTTGCCTTAACAAATGATCCAAATGGAACAAATACGGAAAATAAACAGTCATACGTATCAGATGAACTACAAGTTTCGTTGCATGAAAGCCTAAAAAACGAAGTAACATTATAGACTAGGTCAAAACCAAGATGTTACTGTAGTTTCATGAGACAAAATGATGACAAAACGACATGCATATAGATATAAGAAGGTGTGGTATGAGTGCCAATGAGACAATTCTCCATCCATCACACCGAACAGCAAGCTATAAAGGGCCCAAAAATAATAATCTAATTTCTCAATCTTATGGATTGAATCCGTGGAGGAGGGGTGGGAGGGGACGAGAAGAAAAAAAGGGGACAACAACAAGCCATATGTAAAAAAGAAGACAGATATTACCAAGAAATAACAGGTACTCGTTACCGCTACATGACAACTTAGTTAAGTATTAGTTTGTTGTTCATTCATGATACGCACAACATGTGCTCTTGTGGTATATATATAAAAAAAAAGAGTTGCGGTATGTTGTTTGCTTAACGTCTAGTGGCAAATAATTCATGTATGTTCATGACGATTTTCAACCAGACAACTATTCATTATGGCATAAAGACCAAAGGACAACGGTAAATGCTATTCTATATCTATTAAAAACTGTGTTCTAGATATGTCTTTTTAATTTAATCAGGCCTAAATGTGAGACTTTGAAGTGAACTTTGTAAATTACAGTTTAACCCGTAGGAACATAAGATTTAGACATTTTTAAATGAATAAATATCATCAAAATTTGAAAAGATTATATGGTAGTTTGAATCAAATTAAATTCTTTTTTTTTGTGCTTTTGCAGTCTCTATCGGTTCACATTATTTAAAACCTAACTTAAATCGAGGATTGACCTTTTTTTTTAAACTTTGTTGTTGTCTTGTTGGTGTTTATTCAAGCAGTTTTTTTTTCTTTTTTTATATCTCGAATAAGATTGAAATGTTTGCCACGGAACGTTATGCAAACAACAATCTATCAATCAAAACATTTTTTTTCCTTTCAATTGAAATTATTATTTAGAGGTCAGTAAGGGTGCAAGCAGAATAAAAACATAAATTCCATGTCTAACTTTGTATTACCTGTGATCAGGAATTCCATTGATAAACACTGAAAGTCCCATAAATGGTCCTGTGAAAATCCAGCCAATCATTAACAAAACATAATTTCTCTTTTGATAAGGTCCAAACGAACCAATTTGTGTTAAAATAGCATCAAACTTCATATTAATTAACTTATTTGTTCCTCGGTATTTAAAATAACGAAGAGCTATCAAATCAAATCTCATACACTGATACGACCTTTCCGTTAAGAGGATATAGTATCTTGATGATTGACAAATGCATTGTAAGTATAAACACCAACTTTAAGTGGTCATCAAATATACAGAATCAGATATAAACATGAAAGATATAGAACATTTATACTTATATAACGTAAGTTATAAGTTTTATAACCGAAAACGGAAACACATGTCTACTTAGGAAAAACGAATACAAAGAACAAAAAAGTTTTTTGAATAATAAATTAAGGATAAGACTATAATTTTAAAGGACATTTATCATTTCCTTTTATTTGTGTAACGTTTTTCCAAATTTATGAGATTTGATGTCACAGTGGATACAATCGCTGATGTCAAATAATAAAACCGAAATGAAAACTGTTAAAATTGAAGGATAATTTATATTACAAATCTTTTTCCAAATTAAACCTATTGATGTAATGTGTCTCAGCTGATTCGGTATACCAAGGATGTTCACCTTATTTTAAGAAATTGGTGTACGCATTTCGAAATAAAAAGAGTAGCGTGAAATAATGACGTACAGAACAAATAGTTTTACGTCACCACCTGTTGTTCGCGATCGTTATCACTGAGTTTTCATATATTAACGAGTCCAAGATCCTAACATATATAAATGTTTGGGTACGAGGGTATTGAAATAATTATACCTTTATGAACTACCCAGCAACGAGATAGCCTGGGGTCCTGGCTAACCTTGCGACGCGCAGCTAGATCGGGCCGGGATTCCAGGCTAGCAACGAGAAGGAACACTATTGCTGTTGGACTATCAATCCGCGGCAGGAACACGTGCATGTCCACGAGAAACATAACATATATTTTTTTAGTTCATCGGAATTAATTACCGCGTCGTTAATGCTAGTTGTCTTCACAACTACTGTAATTTAAAAGAATAGAACCTTACGAGAGATGATCCATGCAAACCAGGATATCTTTACCATACCGGTACACCAGGTATCAAGTTCACATTCAGCTATTCTCTTCCTACTCTTTTCAGTTCAATATTTGTAAGTCCAAATACACAAAGAAACAACGGAAAGCTGGAACTGCCAACTGATGCTCCCAGAACTGCACGCTAATTGAGGGAAACTATTATTATTTCAAGGGTTCCTAGTACTACTGTAAATATAATTGGAGGGACACGTAAAATGTGTACTACATTTTTGCTAATGTTTCACCTGTATTGATGTGTTTCAATTCATATGGTGCACTCGAGTCATGAAAATAAATGACTAAGCTAGGACTTTATGTACCAGGGAGTATAAAAAGGTAGATAACTATACAGAAACAACAACTGTTACCAACACTTTTTCTTTCCCTGATCTTCCATCTGTACAAGTTTCATTATAAACCAAAATATGATTAAAAACCAACCAAAACATATTTTTGTAACAGCGACATTTACCTTTGACAGCGTCTTCCCCTTCCTTATACATGTATCTTCCATCTGCAAAAGTTCATTCTAATCAATCGGGAGAAACTCTAGATACCATCAAATAACCTTTTTTTCAAAATTTTCTTTTTTAGTTACAGTAAACTTGACCTTTGACCTGTTGATCCAATATTCATTATGCTTTTTCGCCTTGTCTATTTCTTCAATATGTTTACGTTTCATTCCAATTAAGCTAGGGATCATACTCAAGTTAATATTATCGGGAAATTTTTAATTGTTGACGCATGGACGGACGGAAAATACAGTTAAAGGTGTTTTGTAGTCAACTTCCTGTATAAGATTTGCTCATTGTTAAAGGCCGTACATATACCTATAAATGCTAACATCTACGTCATTTTATATTTACAGCCATCTTCAACAGACATATGTCATTACAATAAGTAAAGCTCCAATTTTCTGCAAGGCCGAACAAGTTCAGAAAGATATATTATACACTAGTTATATAATATAGAAATTAGTAGATTATTTCACTATTTTTCATGCTGAGATTCGTATTCTTCTCTTTGGTCTACTGTTTATAGTCGTGTAAATTGTTATAAAGGAGAACGTCCGGTAAAGGCTAATTTTGGCCTAAAATTTGAAGAAAATCTGATGAAAGATTTCTTAAGTCGATTCAATTAGTTTATGTAAAAGATTTTGGTCATTAAAGTCGCTCAAATTCAAGCTTGAATATGAAAAATCTATCATATATTCCATTAAACGTCACTTTTCAAATGTTTTTGTCTAAAATGTACGTGACCGCATTCGTGTTCAGTCTCAACCTTTATATACGTCATGTATTATCATCAAATACAACATACATACAACTGAACACAAGTGCGGCCACTTCCATTTTAGACAAAAACCGTCTAAATATAAGTACAAATTCTAAAATTATGAAAATATCAGTAATATTGCATGAATTAATGATGCTAGTTTCTGATGAATGTGCATTGTATTGTCAATAACAGCCCATATTTATGTAACAGAAGTATTCTACTTTATAATAAACTAGAACACACCCGCGAAATCGCGGGCATTTAGAGCGTGGTTGAAAGTATGTAAACTGTTGTAGGATGAATTTTTGTAAAAGATTTTATGACTGGAGAATTTCAGGAAAGGTGTTTAAAGTCATAGGTACTTGGGGACAGGCCAATTTTTTTTAGCCCTCCCCCCTTTTTCCGAAGTCCGTTATTTCTTGTTTTCCGTTAATTTCAATTATTTTCGCGTCTTTTCTGTATACTATAAATAAAGTGTATTTGCTAAACCAAGTTTACTATCCCCGGCGGTCACTGATATGTTATATAGAGACTCTCTATATCAGTGACCGCCGTGGATAGTAAACTTGGAATTGATAGTAAATAGCAAATACACTTTATTTATAGTATATGTATGATCATAGTATACGGAACAAACGCGAAAATAATTGTCCTGTCCCCAAGTACTTATGAAAATTATTTGTAATTTTAAAACAGTTTTAAACGGAAGTCTTGTCTTTGACTTAAAAGTCCGTCCGATAACGGAAACAATATCCGTACGCCTTTATTTTCGTTTTCCTCCCAAAATAACCTAAACTGAATAATCATAAGCGATGGTACCATAGTACACAGAGGCATGATCGTTAATTAATTGTGGAAGGAAGAGAAGCGTCACACAAAATGAGGTCTTCTCATTTAATATTATAAATAGTTAAAAGTTTACATTTTTAGCAATTTGTAAAAATGCTATATTTTGGGGCCAAAAAGGGGTCTTACTGGGTCTACTCCTTTGTCTTTTCATTTACGTTTTTGTCCTATGCGTTTTCAACCATTCTGCGAATGTTAACTCCCCTCCCCCTTTTGTATTGTCTTCTTTTACGTGTTATTGATTATGTACAATCGATTAATACATTGATTGCTACTTGACTCTCTTATGAGCCGATCAGTTTTCTTTCATACCCCTAAATACCGCGTGTTTAATTAAAAATAAAAACAGCAAAAAATATAAAATTTTCAAGTTTTTTAGTATGTCCCGGTCGGACCTTACATACTCGAAGCAAACGTGCCACTACAAAACAACCTCGGCTGTTACATTTAAGGAGATTTATTTCAAAGAATGTTCAATGCGTAAATACTAATCTTAATATTATTATTACCCTGATAAATATCAATTATTTTTGTTATTTTTATTAATCTTATTATTAATTTGTAGGTTGAATTATATTCATACTTTTCAAGATGACATGTACCTAATTTAAAATTACGACACACAGCGCATTAATAAGATAGCTGATGTTATTATTTTGTTTACACACGCGTCAAAGGGAATTCTCCATGTACAAAAACGCCATTGCATCTTGGTAACTAAAACATTTATTTACACAAGTATAAACATAATGTACACCTTGTACATCTAATGTAAACAATAGTAATTAAATTAGAATGTTATTTACAAACAAAAGTTAGATATTTTATATATATTCTACATTTATAATTCACCCTATCTTGAAAAATAATTGCAACATCCTTTTAGTTTAAAAGAACCAAGTTACATCCATTTTTCCTTTGATGTTCATAGATTTTATCTTCCAATACATCGCTTTTTACACCAATCGCCTATCAAAAAGAGATGTTTGTTATTGTATTTCTTACAATTTGTAAGTCGTAATAAATAAAATTAAAATAAAATAAAAAAAAAAAAAAAATAATGATTCAAATTTAATAAGGTGCATTTCAATCGTATACAGTTTTAGGTGCATATAAACTGTATACCGTTTAGGATGCATATAAATCGTACATCTGTAATGCTGTATATAAAATAAACATGCGTTGAGATCCATTTTTACAGTACATCTATGAAAATGTATGTACACATTTAATATATATATCTTAAAGTTTTAAGTTTACAAATGTCGTTCATATGCATCTTTAAAGATGTACTTATTATATACATCTAAACAGAGAGTTGTCTCATTGGCACTCATACCACATCTTCTTATATCTATCTAGATGCTCAGTCAGTTTATATGCATCTTAACAAATGTATATTTTTATATACTTCTTTACAAATGTAGTTTATTTTCATCTTTTAAAATAGATGTGTATCAGATTGCTTGAACAACAGTATATCATATACTTATGATGCTGCTGCTGCTGCTGATGATAATGATGATGATGATGACGATGACGACGATGATTAGAAAAGTAATAGGATATTGAACAAGCGAAGTGCATACTTGGAAACAAAATAAAACGGAGTCTTTGAATTTTTTCAAATAAAATTGCCATATATGAAATATTAAAATACCACAAAATATCTACTTTATATTTTAATAAAACGTCAACATATATGTTTTACTCATACCTAATGAAGGTAACTGAAGGTATAATTACCTATCTTCCCAGACAATAGTAGACACGGGTGCCCTCCCTGATTGACTGGAATCCAAAGCACTGAAGGAGTAGAACTCTTGTATAATCAGAGCATTCACTGGGAGACCTATAAGAATGCGAGT